CCTAAGGGGAGAAAGTTCAGATCGCTTTGGCCTAGTTGTTCTAACCCCTGGCCCTCCTGTTGTCAGCCATCCGCAGAAGTCCGAAACACCACTCACACCCGCCCCCCACCCTCACCCACGAAGGGCTGGGCTGGCTGACTGCAGACCACCCCGTCAGAGAAGCTCTGAGGGAGCTGTGGGAACGCTTGAGGGTTTGTGCCTGGAGACGAGGTGTGAATATCACCCCAAGGATGGCTAAAACTGGAAACCCTCTGGCAAGGCTCTACGACACCAGATTTATATACATGGAGCTTCAGGAAACAAACCATTTTTAAATACTGTTAATCTTCCCCAGTTTCCCACTCGTTCGTAATAGCATACTTCAGCTTCTTTGATTTCTAGAGCCAGAGGTGACAGCTCTATTTAACCCCGGGAAAACAGGGCGCAGGGACTTTCGGTAGTACAGGACCCCAGGACAGCAAAGCCCGGGACAGAGTGAAGTCCTGGGCGGCTGCTATTCAGGGGCTAGGTTGCCACTTGCAGAGTTGCAGCTTGGAAGACTTCAGACACCGAGCAGTTAATATTGAGTTCCCTGTAGCTCCTTGTAAATCTAACCCAACCCCTCGCCCCCCTTTAAATCTGTGGTCTTGTTCGCGATTTCTTACTTGACGTAAAATTCCTTGTTACCTAATCATAGACCCTTTCAAAAGACTCCCCTCCTCCACCGCCCCTGCTCATGAGAATCTTCCGATCTGGACAGCTAGCAAAACCCCCCTTCTCTCTTTTTTCTCTCTCTTAAAAAAAAATTTGGATAAAAGCCCTATACTTTGAACTAAACGCCCCAGACTATTTCCTATGCCTGTAATAAGGCCTGGAATCCTCCTCACACCTCCTCCACAGGAAAGAAAAAAAAAAAAGGTCCTCAAACACAAAACGAAGCTACAGACACAGGGCTTCCAATAGATAGATACCTATAAAACAAGGCCACCTAAACCTTCTGCACAAAGCCTAGGCCCTTCTTCCAACCTAAAGACCACTCAAAGTTCTCCTGGGAGCTTCAGCAAGAAGAAAAGAGACAGGACTGGATAGAAGCCCAGGCCTTTGGTCAGGATTTTCACCAGGACAGTTTGCTTTAAGAACAGTTCCTTCATCTAGGGAGCCTCAGATCATATTGATTGATTAGAACCACTGACTCTTTCAAATAAAGTTGGAGGCAATTACGATAATTTAGTTTACTTCTGAATATTTTAAATATTATGAAAACAAGTCTTAACAGCTTTGTTTTCAAAACTCTTTTGAGGTATCACCCATGTGATTTTTTTTTGTAAAAAAGACACACAGTGGTTTATTGAATACTTACAACGTTTACACCTTCAATGTTAATTAAATGCCACTTAGTTTTAGAGGACGGAAGCACACAAAAAACAAGAAGCTGGTGGAAACATCTTCGACTAGGGAACAGCGACATTTGAAATGCGACAGCACTAGATAAACGACCAGACAGAAATGTTAGCGGCCCTGCTTTCTGCTTTGAAATAGAACTTTATAACCCCCAGGAATATTTATATCCAAAGGCCGAGTATTAAAAAGATACACTTCGCATATGCACTAGTGTCCACTTTTTTCTTTTTATCTGGAAAGAGTTGAGTAAGGAGGCGGGGGTTGGGGTTGGGGGGACAATGCTGGTGTCTACACAGCCAAGAGGGAACATTCACACACAGAGAATGACGGGGTCCCTTACCACACGGGAGTGTCCTCTTCATATTAAAATATGGAATGCTTTTCTTCAAATATCCACTTTTTTTTGGAGAGGGAGGTGGGGAGCGGATGCCTCAAAGGTGGGGGGGCAGAAAGAGGGGGAAGGAAATTGCACATAAATAAACCGGATGATCCAACTGCAAGAAGTCCTCAGAACAGAGCCCGAGGGCTTTCGGGGAGTCCTGGGTCTGCATCTGGCGCCTTGACCCCCGGCTCGCTAGCTCTCCTCTTCTTCACTGCTTGAGCTCCAGGGCCCAGACGTGCTGTGGCCAGCCTGTCCGGCCTTTGGTTTTCTTGTCGTTGCTGCTCACTGTACTTTTCAAGATTTCATTCTAAACAGAAAGGGGGCGAAAGGGAGAGAAATGGAAAGAGACGTTCAGCGAGAATGCCCGGTTCCAGCCACCTTAGCTCTCTTCCGGCCGAGAGGACACAGACTACGAGGGTACCAGGGAACACTCAATGAGGGGGATGATGCGGATACCGGCCTCTGCAGAAAAGTTATGCAGGTCTCCAGTGCTTTAAGTTGCCGCCGAGGCCTCCTCTCCAAATGCTCAAGGACCCAGTCAGCAAATTTATAAGCAACCAACTGATTTCTAGGCGTTTACAGAGAAGCCTAGGTTCTATTTTTCCCTTACTGCTATTGCAGGAGAGGAAACAGAGGCCAGTGCTAAATCTGCCTTCTGTTTTCAATAGCGAACCCCACATCCAGAGGCCCCTCTGCTCTGGCCTGGGCCTCTCCCGCCAACCAGCAGCCTCTGTACATGGATTTCAGCAGTATGTCTCCTGCAAGGCCCTTGAAATCTCTGGTTATTCGGAAGGTCATTCCATCATGCACGAATCAAAGGGCTACAAGCCGCAAAGGAGAAAATTTCCACAAATGGAATTATTTCTTAGGTTCTTTTTGGTCATAGCCTTATCCAGAACACCATACTTTACCTGCAGTTGGCAGGAACCCGAGGACACTTTAAGTGGCTCCACATAACTTCATGTTAGAATTCATAACAATGACCAAAATGTGTATTTCTTTTACTCTAAAAGTGCACAAGCTCACTCAAATAAACTTAGACACACTCGTGAATTACTTGGGGGGAATTTACGCTCTAGTTTCAAAGAGAAACTAAAGCTGTGTTTTCACCTTAAAGGGATTTAATGTTTACCGTTACCTCCCGCGTGCCATAGCACTGTGAACAAACATAGCGTTTTCTTACTGTTCAGAGTCAGAGGCAGCCTCGATTTTGGAGTGGGGGATGTGATCAAGAGTGGAATAACTGAAACCCGAGAGGTCATAGGTAACTTTAGAAATATTTAGAAGAAAGCTTGGGTTGGAAGCCAAAGATAGCTTTAATGAACACAGAATGAGGGAACCCGGCCAGTGCGACCAGGAGACTGGTGAGTTCCTACATGTAGGGAGGTCAGTCCTAAATGGTTAGAGGGCCTTAGAACCTCGAAGGAAGACCAAAAGCGCGGACATCCTGCTGCTGACATCCTCCCTTTCTTGCTTTTGAGGAAACCATCCCTACTCCACAACCTGGTGAAAGCAACTTCGGCCCACTATTCAGTCAAAGAATGCGGCGTACAATTTCTCAGCTGGTCTGGAAAGACTAGAGCAGCGGTCCCAAGAACCCCCGAGCCCCTCACCTCCCTCTGTCCCCCTAGTACTGACCAGTTCTTTCTTCCTCTTCTCCTCTTTCACGTCGGTCTTCTTGATCTCCGCCTTGAAGGCCTCCGCCTCTCCGTTCTGGTCGTCCTTGGCCAGCAGATCCATGAGGTAGGCGATGTAGCTGGTGGCCAGGCGCAGTGTCTTGATCTTGGAGAGTTTGGTGTCGGCGGGCACGTTGGGGATGCACTCGCGCAGCTCGGCGAAGGCGCTGTTGATGCTCTGAGTCCTGCGCCGCTCCTTGCGGTTGGCGGTCCCCCGGCGCTTCACCGGGCGCGGCCCCCCCAGGCCGGGAGGCCCGGCACCGGGCGGCACTCCCCCATAATGGGAGTGGTCCAGGCCCGCGGCACCGCTGGCGTACTCGGGACTGTAGGACAGGGCCATGCTGTAGTCGGGGGGCGACATCTCCGGGTGGCCAATAAGCCAGCCGTGGAAGTAGGGGTTCTCCTCGTGGCTGCAGCGGCTGGCGGCGGCTGCGGCTGCGGCGGCTGCGGCAGCGGCGAACGGGTAACCCTCATGGTGCACCACGGGGTGGTGGGGAAAGCCCCCCACCAGACTCATCTCGCCTTCCGTGGCCCTCCACGCGCCCCAGCGTGCGCGCAGCCCCGCCGCGCCCTCCGATCGGGCTCCGGCCTCGGCGATCGGCGGTCTCCCCCACCCCCCACCCCCCAACCCCCGGGCTCCCGGGCCGGCCCTGCAGCCGCAGAGGGAGCCGCTGCAGCCCGGGGCCCGCGCCTGGCCCGCCGGGGCCGCCTCAGCTGTGCCGCGGCCGCCGGCTCCCCATGGGGCGCGGCGAGCTGGTCCCGGCACGGTGCGCCCTTGCTCGCCGCCGCCGCCGCCCGCCCGGCTCTACAGCCCGAGAGCCGGCTCCCGCTTGCCCCGCTGCAGCGACCAGGCAGAGCGCTCCTGGGCTCATGCAAAAGTGCCGGCCGGCTCCCGCGAGGCTGTCCCGCAGATGCCGGGCACGGGACTCCTGGCTCCGAAGCTGACCTGGAATCCGGGGCGAGTCCAAGCCGGGGCTGGAGGAGCCGGCCCGGCTGTGCCGGGAGGCGGCGGCGGGGTCGCTGCTCAGCGTGGAGCTACCTCGGTGCGACCCTCCCCTTCCCGCCCCTTCCCCTCCCCCCACCAGCTCGCTCTGGGTTCTTGGGAGCTTATTGTTTTAATCAAAATTATTTGGTTGTTTTGGTCCTTGAGTGTGATTTGTTTTTAAGGCTGCGAGTAACGTGTCCGTCCTCGCTCCTCTCAGGCTCTCTCGGAGGCTTTCCAGAGAGGTCTCAGCGCATCCATTTTCTAAGATCCTCTCCTCTCGCGACAAGAATCTTGGGCCCCTGAAGGCGCCTCGGTGCTGGGAAGCGGCGAATGGACTCTCGGAGGGGTGTGCACAGTGGCCGTGGAAACTCCCGGGTGGCGGTGGCGGTGCTCCTGGGCTGGACGCAGTGAAGGGAGCAAGCCGATTTTCCCAGCAAGATCTCCATGTACAGCTACATCTTTAGGGCCGCTCGGGTTAATATATGTCGTCAGAGACTCCTCACGCCAATCCCGGGGCGGCGGGGGCGGCGCCTCGCGCTCTCCGCAATAAAACTTTTTGATGTTCACGTTGCTAATTGCCGAGGTCCTCTTCTAGGATTGGTTGTCCACTCATAACCGTAAGATAATTAAAACAGGAGGGGGGCAGGGTTAAAAAAAACTTTTTTATCAGCCATAGGTTAATGCAAGTGTTTAACAGATGCTTCGCTATTAAAATATTTTCCCCCAATACTGACGAATCTCAAACCAGGTACAGTATTATTTCACTTTCTTTTCTAGTTACAGGGGTGGGGTGAAGAGGGGAAGGAACGCAGATTATGATTGTTCAACTGTTTTGTAGGTAATCAGGGCAGAGAACTCTGAGCAAGCAGCCTCCTGTAGTTTTGTGCTGGGCTGGGGAGGGGTTTTGGGGTAGGTGAGTGGGTGGCGGCGGCGGCGGCGGTGGTGGTGGTGGTGGTGGTGGTGGTGGCGACGGCGACAAGAGTCTGGAGGTGGCGGTGTGGAATCCCATTAAGGTGCGGTTGGGAGTGAGCCGAGGCTCTTTGACCAGGCTGGAACGCCAGCGCTCCTTTGACCCGGGACATTTTGGAAAAGTTTCAGTGGCCTGTTTGTTTAGGCACTGAATTGGATGATTCAGGTTATGCTGACAACTTGGAGGAAACGAGGATGGGCCCTTCAGTTTGTGCATGCACTCATTTGCATAATTTTCTCGTGCAGCCACCCTTTCAGAGATTGTGAAGGTTTTCAAAGTGGGGCACCTCGATTTCTCGAATCTGTGGTGTGGCGAATATCCGTGTTCCTCTGGCTTAACTAGCCTGTTTGGTAAGTAACTGAATAGTTTTTACAGCGTGTTCGGAGCTTATTTTCTAGTTTTTATGAACAAACATATAAATATATCTCTGCATTCCTGCCTCCCTCATAAAAGCGGGCATCTGTGGGAAGCAGGTTTAGTTATCGGAGGGGAGCCATTAAACGGACGTTTAAGAGGCGGGCAGGGAGGAAGGCTCGTGGATGTTTAGACTGCTTGCCTTGGCGATCTTGAACGCATTAGAACGGAAAATGGATCTCTACTTGTAAGTCAGCGAGCCGCGGGGCACCTAGGCAGATTCCCAAGCAGCGCGGGTAGGGGCGGTCAGTGGAAGGAGGTGAAACCTCCTGTATGAGGATTTCTTCTGCTCACCCACACGAAGGAGGTCGGTGTGTAACAGAGTGTCAACAGAAGCCCTTAGGCTGTAAATTTGATCAAATCGAGGGCTGGCCTTGGACCTGAGGAGGCAAGCAGAGAGGACCCAAGTGACACCGCCGTGGGCATCGCTTTTTGGAGGCAGGAGCATTCTGGTCTCAGACATCAAAGAGAACCCCAGGCTAAGGACTGCATGGACAGTCCTTCCCATGCCCCTAGAGTCTGGCTGACTGTGATTCTGTCTGGGAGGCCACATCAGAAGGAACCGAAGCGGCTACCTATTTGCTTCCTTGGTCTCCAGGGCTGAGACCTAACTGCCCTGTGGTAATCTCACCTAGATTTAAAAAAAAAAGTAAAAAAGACGTTAGAGCTGGGTGGTGGGAGAAGGGGGGAAAACTCAAAGGTTGTGGCCTTTCTTCTGTTTTCAAGAAGTCAGTTTTTCAGGCTAGCCCCCAGCAGAGGGTCCTAAGACAGAACAAATCCAGGATGAGAAGTAGCTGGAACCAGTCTTGCTGGTTAGTCCAGAGGCTTGTGTTTGGTAGCAGAACAAAATGACCTACATACATCTCTACTTTACAGCATCAGTGGGTATGCAGTTTGGGGTACAAGGAGCGTTTTTTAAAGAACCGATTCTTCAAAGAAAGAGTAGAGATAACGTGGTGGAGGATTCTGTTTACATTTTCAGCAGGAAGGGTACCTTGAATCAGTAAATACTGGTAGTTCAAGCCTCTGACATTTGATACATTAAAAAAAAAACAAAACAAAAACCCTGTTTATAAAAACATTTAGGCCTTGGGAACAGGTAGACTAGGTAAGATGATTGATGTGTTGTGGCCAACAACAGATAAAAAATTAGGAAAGGTGTTTCTTGGCTGCCTCAGGAAATAGACTTTTAGGGCATTGGGAGATTGAAGAAGAATCCAGAGAAAGATAGGACTGGGGATAGAGAAGCTGTCTGTTAACTTGTAGCCTCAGGATTTAGGGATCAGAACTTGCTACTTTTAGTCTTTTTCCCCCTTTCTGCTTTTAAAAGCCACCACCACCACCAACAACAACAAAAAGTAGGGGTATAGAGTCATAGCTCCAGATATCACAAGTGATAAAAGAAACGGACAACATGGGACAGAAATGGGGGCTGTAAAAGATGCTAATCTGACCATCACTCCTCACTGACAACACCATTATCAGTTAATTACTACAATCCAGGGGTCTAAAGCTTCATGTATCTCAGACACCCAAACCCAGAGACTAGAGTAGTAGTATAGCAGTCTGTAGGTGACTGGAGAGAGGGGACCAGTGGGTATGCTTTGGTTGTATCTACATGTAGTAGCTGGCTGCCTCTAACTGAGCTGTACCCTTACTGTATTTGTTCTTTTTTTTCTTTTTCTTTTTTAGTATCTTTTGACACATTTTACTTCAGTAATTTTGGACTGCCAGGTAAACTTGCTACTTTGGCAAACTCTGAAGCTGAGATGCTATTTTAAATTTGTCCCTAGTTTAGCGGGCCTGCCTCACCCCAGGGGGTAGTTATGACAGAACTATCAAGGTGATGTGACAGGGAAGTTGGTCATCAGGAAGGTGGAAGAGGAATGTGAGTGTATAGTTTCTAGCTTAGATGTCAGCCTGCTTCCTCACTCTTGGGCTGTACAAGCAGAGCCTCTGATGAACTGCTTCCTAAGATACACATTTAGAATTCTCAAACACCATAGCTCTGTGATAACGCTGGTTGTGGGCCATTCTGGGTGCTTAGGGAGGAATCCCATAGAGGACTATCTCTCCCCTGGGAGGCTAAGAGCTGAGTGGTCCTGGGTCAGCAGATCATCCCAGGAAGGCAGCCCAGGTTTAGGGGAGTATTGGAGATTCTGTGTGCATAATCTTCCTGAGGCTGATGGTGTATCTACAGCTCTGCACATCACACGCTCAGCCAAATGGACAAGGCTGGTTTCAAACGTTTACTTTGTGTCCGTGTTACTTGTCTGTTTCCTTTTTACTACTACTTTCTCTGGAAAAGATTCGAAGGGCAAGAAGAAGGCTGGGGACTCCATTGCAAACATTTTTTGCCCCATGTGAGATATGACTTTTAAGCTCCGTTTTAAACTAAATATTTTTTTAAACTTCAGTCTTTTTTTTTTTTTAGGGGAAATACAGATCTTTTCCGAGTATTTATTATTTCAAAGGCAAGGGCAATTTTGTATCTCGTGTTTTGCTCACGAGTACTCAAAATAAACTGGATCTGAAAAGAACCAGGCCAGAAGGCCATAAACACACATTTTATATTTACAGGAATTATGGCTCAATTCCCTTCATCATCTTTCAAGCCCCTTCATACCTTCCTTTCTTAACTGAAGCAGTAGAATTGATTGGGAATATTCCTCAAAATATCTGTAACAAAGTGAACTCCAGAACATGCTAACAACCCCAAAGGAATACCAAACCCAGAAGGTGACAGGAAAATGAATCTGTTACTGAAGATGTAACCTCAGCCTCACCTGCTCCAGAGACACTGTTTCTGCCACACTCTTGTCACCCTGCAGGCCTTTTCTCTACTGGGGAGGCACTGTGTTACATTTCACATTAGCCACTTAGTCCCACCATGTTTTAGGACACCCAGAACACGGCCTACGGGTTGAGTGGGAGCAAAAGCTTCCCTCTGAGAGAGCCTCCTTTCTTTTCCTTTTTCGAGTATTTGTGTACAGACATGAAAAAATTGTTTTAAAGTAGGCAGCTGTAAAGTAGGGAATCTGGTCGATTGAACTTTATGTCCAATTCAAAAACGAAGGGCAGGAGAAGGTGCCTTTGACTCTTATGTGGCTTTCTTTTCTTCTGAGGAATTTCTTCTTGGATTTTGGGAAAGGGTGGGGTATTTGGGGAGTAAACCCCCTGCCACCCGGTTCTCCATTCAAAACAGATCTGTGCAGATGGAGGAGGGAGGGGCTGGTTCAAAGGCTTGGATGACTATGGAGAGGATGATTAAAAAACTGAACCCTTCAGTCCAGTTGTGCCTAGGAAATAGTAAAGTCAAGACTTCCCATATCCTTCTACATTCCCCCCCCCCCATTTTCTGCTCCCCATTTCGATTTCCCTCCAAACTTACTTTCCAGAAGTGTTAGGGCTTATATTTTATTTAACACTGTTACAGAACCCGAGACTTGTGGAAGAATGAGGCACTAGTTTGTTCTTAAATTCTTTATGGGAAATTCTCCTATCCATTATGACCAGCAGTCAGTCTTCTATTTTCTTCAATAAGCCATGATTACATTCTTGCATTAGCGAGAAGATATGTTGCTGCTGTGGAGAGTTCTCATTGATGAAGAAGGATTTGGTACTTTGACAGGTATTTGTAAATTAAAAATACTCATTCAGACTAAAGGCAACATAAAGTGTGCTGTGAACTGGGTAATACTATATATAATAACATTAAACATAATATATGTTATTATAGTCATCTCAAGAAGTATGATAAATCTGATCTTTGCCACCTTGTAGTAAAATACTGAGTTTAGAATAAAATGTTATAAGATGATACGACTCACAGGATTTATGAAACCTATACAAAGAATTGCATACATAGGGATATTTCAGGGCTGGATGTGCATTTGAGAGATAGACCCTGGCTTTCACTCACAGAACTTAAAAAAACCAATTAAAAAACACAACAGTACAATAAAAGTTAAAGATAAAGAGCATTTCTTCCAAGCTGTAAAGAAATCCTTCTGAATTTAGGTGAGAACGTGACTATGATTTTATTTATACTCTTTGGAACTAGCCAGCAATGGATTTAAGCTAGCATGCAGTACAGTCTTGGATTCAGGATAAATAGGAATGAAATGACTGCTTAACACATGGAGTTTCTGAGGCATCATTTGTGGGACTGCAGGATTACTTGTGACTTGAGTCCCTTTCCTTCCCAGCTCTAACTGCTATGTTGGAAGCACTCCTGGGAAGACTTTCCAATGCACCACATAGATGGATTTCTTTACCTCTAACAGTTTCCTCTAAGCCTTTCCTGCATTCTTCTACAGTCTTTGCTTAGAGACAAGAGACTTGAGCCAGGATAGGTTAGGTTTCAGGTTAACCAAAAGAAACACTTTTATTGTCAATATTAATGGCAAACTTCGATTTTTTACAAGCCCTGGGTTTAGCAGATCAAAAGCAGCTTGTCTTGATTTCTCAATATTCTCTGGAGTTTAGACAATTAACTGCAATTTTGGTTCTAATGAAACAATACAAGAAAGCTAGTTGCAAGAAAACATTGGTAAAGTTAGCACTGGAGTGTAGATTTTTACCTGGACACAAGATATTATGATCTAGTAATTTATTCCTTCAACTGGAGCTGAGTTTTGAAGGAGAATTCCTTTAAGAAAATATGTTCAAGCACTGTCCTCCCTTGCAACGTCATGAGTCTTTTTCAGCGTGTGTGCATTCCACGGTTGCCTTTCTGCCCGGGTAAGGATCCGGCAGACTGAGGTCTTCCTGGTAATTTGGGTGCACCGAGTCTCCAGTTAATGATAGATAATCAGCCTTTGGGTCATTCGGTCATTCTCTTATTACAAACCCCTCCTGCTCTCTCTGATCTCCTTTCAAACTAAATTTCACACAAACAAATAAAGCAAGACAGGGACAAATTCTAAAAAAAAAAGAGGGGGAAATATTAGAAACTTCTGATACAGAACTCAAAACAAGCAAAGGCAAAGCTAAAAGAGGGTAGGAAAGAACATCTTATCAAATTGAACATGCTGTGTACAAAACATTAAAAGAAAAGGATCTGGTTTCTGTTAAAGTGACAGAAAATTAAAATAAAAATAATTGCAGGCAGCAAAGTTATAATATAAACAGAGAGGGCAGGATGCTTGCTGGAAGTACGCAGCAGTAGGAGGCAAATTTGTTGTTACAGATTATGTATCTCCACTCTGATTGGAGAAGCGCTACTTTGTTCTGTTTTCCAAAAGAGAATGGTTTTCTTTTTAATACTTGTGTGAGAGTGCTCATTTAAGTCAACACAGGCCCCAAACTCGAGGACTAAAAAAGTGGAACCGCATTTTTCTTGCAAAGCATCCAACTTCAAAGGAAGCAAATGTTTGCATACAGGAAAAGGAGAATTCCATTTTGAATACATTTGGAGACTTCACTAAATCCGTGTGACTGATGCTTTTTTTTTTCTTTTGCCGACAGAAGGCACTGTTCATTCTCCAGCAATTTTTCACCTCTTGTGGGTCTTCTCTTTCCGTCTACAGGAGAGTGTGACTTCAGAAAGAAACTTCGGATTGGCCAAGGTACATCTCAGATTAAGGAAAAGAGCAGAGGTGTAGGGCTCATGCAGTCAGGGTCTCTGGTGAGAGCGCCCCTAGTGCCCTTTTACTGTCTCTGCTTTTGACCATTCCTTTTGATACAAGTTCCAAAGCTAGTCAAAGACTACCAACGTCGATCACCTCCAAACCTCGGGCTTTCAATCTTAAACCTGGTTGGAATTTTGGGTCAAGACTAGATCAACCTGTTATTCTTCAAGATAGAAGGGCAGCTGTGAAATGAACGTCGGTGGTAACCAGACTTCCACATTGTCGCTAAATGTGGGTCTGACACCTTTTGACTTGCCATCCTCTCTGACAAAAGGGTTACCTTCCAAAGTTAGCGAACAATCCACACTTCATTGTTGCCTCTAGGTCCTTCTTGAGTGTTTCCGCCTCATAGGAGACCTGCTGGTTAGTTTCCCCCCTTGTGCCCAAATCAAGCTCCCATTCTATGAACTTTCTGGTGGATGCTCTTGTAGTTTTCTGGGTGCAGATCTTTCACTTTCTGTGTCTGTGTCCTCTAACAACACAACTAATGTTTTCCACAAAAAGATGTCCCCAAAGCTGGTGGGAAGGCGATTTAGAGAACCCCCCGAGTGTTCTAATTGCAATCGGGTTGTTTTAGTCTATTTTGAAGGCCATTAAATCTGGTAAGCGACTTGGAAGTCATTTATAAAGGAACAGACCTTCAACCTCAAGCCTTTGCGGGCACTGGGGAAAGTGTCTTCCAAATCAGTCTGGCTTGCGGGCTGCAGGACCAACTCTGGCCTGGCTTATCTGGTACTCATCCTAAATACTCCAAACTCAAGAGGTAGCCAGGGCCACCTCAACGCTCTATTACCGAAGTCAGTGCTTTGGGTGCCTTTGTTTCTCTCTTCGTTCAAACAGTGGTGGAAATGAAACAGGTCTCGGGGTTGTGAGCTAGATTAAAAGGATTAAAAGGGGCCCTTGATCAAGAGAGTGTTGCCTGATATCAAGCTGCGCTCAATAATTATTTACTTATTTTCCTCTTGCCTCTTCGTTTTTTCTTTCCTGTTTTTTAAATCTATTTTTTTGTTTTTATTTTAAATTCACTTCCGGATCTAGCTGCCTGAAGACCCAGCCAGACAGAATCAGGGGTCCAAGTTCGCCTTTCCAGTGCGGCCTAGCTTAGGGATACCCTAAGCTAGTCTCCTCTCCGACTCCGAGTATCCTGCCTCAGTGGCCTGAGCAGAAAACCTGGTCTCCCAGGAGTTCACAGCGGGGAGGGGGGACCCCCAATGCTCAAAGGGCTGCAACGACTCCCAGGGAGGGGAAGGGGGGGGGGGGGCTGGGGGAGCTGCTGCCCGTGTACAGGTCCAGGCCCTGGGATGAATGCTGGATCTCTCCCCTTTTATTCTAGTCAAATTCTCGTTCCATCTCCAGGCCCTTCTGTGGAGTGGACTGGGGGAAGCGAGTCCACCACAGTCAGGTTAGTAGGGATTGCTGCTGGGACCGAACCAAGGGCTGGTACCTTCCTCCAGCGGATCTCTGAGAACTTTTCGCCCGATGCGGGCAGGAAGGGGTTAACTGTGCCGCCTCTCTCGCTCACCTCGGAGACCCGCGTGCTGAGGGAAGGCCACCGCTTCCCCCAACACCCCCTGGTCTCATTAGGGAAACCCTCACCGCTATTTTCAACATTTCCTCAATCAAGTGCCCTGAAATAGAGCTGCAAAAACAAATTGGCGGCAAAAGCGTAGATCTTGTCAGCATGGAGGCGAATCCAACATTTCAGCCTTGTTTGCTTTGCAATTACGGGCTTGGCTTGTGCCTGTGGTGCCACCGGGGCAAATATGCTGCGGCCCGCTGACTTCTCTGCACCCAGAGCGGCTGGTGGAATCGACTGCCAAGCCACTGCTGGGAGAGGAGCGAGGGGTGGGGGTGGGGAGGGGGGGTAAAAGTGGGGAGGGGGCGCACTAGGTGACCCGGTCTCTAGGAGCTGGCGGATCCCTAGCCCAAACCCCTGTGCAAAAGCGTGGAGTTTAACACCGGCTTTCCAGGTTCCTGGCCGAGCCACCAAGGTATATACAACCATAGTAAAATGCAGAATCCACATATGGACACCAGTGTTGTTCCTTCAGCTTCCTTTCTGTCCCCTGTTTCTCTTCCCCTCTCCCCTGTCCTCTGAACATTTTCTTCAGTAAGTGTCAGCGGTTGCTGGATTTCCGCCTGCTCCCTCGCTGTTAAACTGCTAGCATGATTTGTCGTATTTGCCATAGCTGTTTGTTCTTGTTTGACTTTTTGTACAGAGTTCCTTTAATCTCCTGCAAGAACCATACCCCAAGTTCCTAGGACAGGCTTTTCCACACGTGTGGTTGGGGGCATCTAGCTCACTTTTCTTTCTTTCTGGGGTAGCCTCCCCTCGGGTGCTGGGAGCCTCGTCTGTGTCAGGAGAACAGTAGTTAAGTCAGTTCCTAAGCCTTATATTTCACAGACAATTAAATCTTGGCGGCTGTTTAACAAAATTGTAATATTTACTCTGCACTATACTGAGGAGCACTTTTGGAGTAAAAAAATAGCAAATATTACATTTCAAACAGAAAATACAATAATAAATCTCTTTTTTATGGATCCTCCCTGCATAAGTAGAAACAACATGATTTAAAGTCCCTCCCCACTCCCCCTTTTCAAGAACGGCTGGAACTGGAAGAGGCTGTCATCTAAAACTCACTTCCACCCCTGATGGGGAGGCACCTGCAAGATGGGGAGACTACTTGCCCCACTCTGATCTTTATCACGTGTAATAAGGATTATCAAATAGTGAGGTCTTGTATGAAAAGTCTTTTTATATGCGTTCAAGAAAGATGGGTTGATGTGAGTAGCTCTGACTTCATAGCACTTTGCAAACAGATGGCCATTTCCCTTTCATGAGGCTTTTACAGTAGAAGAAGCTGAGGAAGGGAAAATTTTTATGAGACTCTAGCATCCATAATGACATGAAGTATATTGATGAAGAGTGTGTAAGGTACAGTGTGTTTTTGTTTGCTATAAACTAAACTTGTAGCCACTTTTTAAAAAAAATCACAATTTAAACATTTTTTTTCCTTCTTAGTTTTCAATCCCAGCTAGATGATGAATTCACTGTTCTGTAGCCTCCCCTCCATTTTCATTAAAGCAAATCTCGGAACTGATGGCTTCATAGACTCTGTAGAGGCAGGGAGGACGAACAATCTCTGAAGTCCACAGAGTTACACATACCTATGCGTGCTTCGTATGCCTTTGTCTGGGCAATGATTGCTTTAATATTCTAAGGCACAGGAAGCAGTAGTTAGACTTCATAAGGATTCTCTTTTTACCATAAGAATTGGTCTGGCATATTATTTAATGTACAAATTATACTATTGCTTTCATGTGTGTTAATCTGTTTGGTATTAAGATGGTGAGAGTGTTGTAACCGTTAACATGTTTCTACCATATCACTTTCAATTGGGTGATCTTGGATAATTATGAAGATGTTGGAGCTAATCCCATGTTAAGTGAATGACTATGAAAATAACTGTAAGGCATCGCTATTCTCATGTAAATGCCAACAAACATGATTGCCTGGGAATATGATTACTTTCTATTTGACATTATCCTATAAAGATATAGCTATATTTATTTCTTTTAAAATCAGGGCAGTTTTAAATTATTACTTTTCAACAGAACTTCTTTATTTTTTTTAGCTCCAGTATTTTGCAATTCCCAAAAACCACAGCAATTTGATACCGACAGATACTGCATTTTCTACATTACTCTTCAGTATCCTGTTTTTTCCAAAGTAAAACAAAAATAATATTCAAAACTGTTAACATGTAAGGCACAATTATTAGGGTCTACATATTTACTTAGGTAAGCCAATGCTATTATAATTAAAAACATGTGGTAGGCATAAGAATGCTTCTTTGGAATTACTTTTTGGATACACAGCTATTATTTAAAAAACTAACTCAGATTTCTAAGTAACAAGATTTCACTATGAACAGAGATGGCATTGTTTTAAACAGTAGCTCTTGGAACAGCGTCTTCCTTAGTATTTTAGACCTTCAAACAATTGGAGTTGGGTAAATGCTTTCGTCTGGGAGCACTTTCCTAATACCTTTGTAGCCAATAGGATTCTTTGTTTCTGCTGAGTGACAGACAGTACACTGGACAGACAGCCTGCCCACCCTTTGCAGAAGCTACCAGGACCTGGGTTTCTTTCCCTAAGAGATTGCTTGTGATCAATCTAAAAACAAAACAAAACAAAGCACCCTGTTAAATCAGAGAAAATGAGCAAGTGCTTTCCTAACTGTAGTTTTGAAGTGATGGCTTAAGGAGGTGCATAAAAAAAGACAGGCAGGACCCTGAAAAGTAGGACATGAAAAAGAATGTTTGGTTGGATAAGATCTGTCTTTGTTCATAAACAGGAATGTGAGAAGCTCTATTCAAGATTATGGTTTTCTTCGACTCAGTGATTTTTTTAAAAAATTGTTTTTTAAAAAGTGGACAAAGAAACCCGATCAAAGAAATATATGCAAATTCTTTTATATATACAAATTCAGGTTTGCAGTTAATTTTAATATTATGTGGAAATATAAGAACTTTAAAATATGTATCATTCCTTTTAGCCCAATACATGGTACTTTTAGTATCGTAAAGTATTGATTTTAAAAAAAATCTATCTGTGAGATGATTTCTATATACTCCAAGTTGCTGAGCAAAATGTGAAAAAGTTGTATTTGGAAGAAAGCAGGAATTTTAACTGTTATTAATATGGGATAACGCAAGGAAGAAGCTGTCTTCTTACATTCCTGGTAATTCTTTCTACTTTCCCAAACATTGTTAGTTTCTATGCATCTTGTGTTAGTCAAGTAAAGATGATGTCAGTAATCAAATTACAGAATTGAATCAAGTAGATATTTTTGCTTTATTACAAAATTAGTGTATCATCTTGAGGTATTAAGTTGCTTAGCTGGTTTACTGCTGAAATTTTCTCTTCTTAGATATAGCGGTATTTAGCATTAGTTCTTAGATATAGCGGTATTTAGCATTAGTTCTTAGATATAGCGGTATTTAGCATTAGTTCTTAGATATAGCGGTATTTAGCATTAGTTCTAAAGCCACTTGCTACTTGAAAAGATAAATATGAGGGGTTATCAGAGCTAAAAATAGCCACAGCAACAAAGTAACCACAGCAACAAAGTAACATTTAAGCCTGTCTCGTGTTGATTGGACTTTGTAAATTATACTGCATTTAAAATCATGACTTTGGTATTTCCAATGGGGGCATCTGAGAAGAGAAATTTGAGTCCTCAATTTGCACAGCTAAGAACATATAATCATGTTAGGGAGACTTCCCTCAAAAGCACTTTTTTTTTTCTTACAGGCATTTTTATTCCTTTCCCTACGCTCATACTTCTACTTGTATTTTACCAGGAGATCCAGAAGGAGGAGGGGATGGTCGCTGTAATTGACTGGGGTTTTCTCTGCTTAAATGCATTAATATCACATGGTATTAATTTAGCTGCATTAACAACTGACAAGTTTTCTCAGCGCTCTCTCTCTCTCTCTCTCTCTCTCTCTCTCTCTCTCTCTCTCTCTC